CCTGCTTGTTTCCAGTGCCCAGCAAAGCACCCGGCAGATGCGTTCAATAAACATTTGCTGAAGAAAAAGCACATGCAGAAAAAGGAGAAAGCACTTTTTTTCAGAGAGGTGATAAGGGCAAAATGGATGATACTGAAAAGTTTTGATATAATGGTGAGAGCATTTATGGACATTTTATTGACGGCTTCATATCTTTTCAGGAAGGCATTTCCTGTGCTGCAGAGCATCACGTGATTGACAGTAGGGTTAAGGGCTTAAAGTAGAGTGAAACAACTTGGAACAGCTGCAGCCAGAAATGTGCTTGGGGGATTCCCATATGCTTGCTGCCTTTTTTTAGTGCTGTTCTGTGTATCTGGCAAGCTCCCTCCAGCAAACTTCTCCCTGCCTCTCTAATCTCTTATTTAGTCTACTCATCTTTCAAAGCCTAACTCAAATGCCACCAACTCTTCTGGGACATTGTCCCTTGATACTCTTTCAAGTTAATCGTTCCTTTTTCTATGTTTACATTTCTCTCCTTGTTAATCCTGCTAGATTATAAATTACTTGATGATAAGAAGGGGGTTTTACTTCATCTGTATAGCCTCCTCCTGACCTGATGGGGCGCAGTCATTCCATAAATGTTTGCTGATGTTTAAAATCAAGTAATTTTAGGAATATGATTGCTAAGTGGCGGGGAGGACAGAACTGAAGTTATATGGCTTGAGGTCTCGGTAGACAAGATCAGCATGGTTTTCGTGATTACCAGGAGGTGATGGACTAAGAGAACCAGGAAAAGGTTCAAGAACTAGAGGTGGTGTTGCAGGCAGATGAAAATCCAGTAAAAAATCATGATTGTTTTTTCCTGTTGGGGAAATCTAAAGTTTGGTCTCCCTACCAGGGAAAACAAAGACATGAAGCTCACATGTATTTTATGGAAGGAAAGGACACAGTGTTTTCCCAGCTAACTTACTACTGCACAGTGAAGCCAGACAAAGAAGGAAAGCCAACGATGAGCCCCTCAGTATCAAACCAAGATTTTAACCATAAACTTCTACTCCTTAACTTCAGCTGGACTCGAAACTTTTGTAAAAACAAAACACATTTTTGTATTTCACGTTTTCTCCTTCATTTCCAAACTTTCTGGAACAGCAGTTTCTGAGCAGCGAAATGAGTGCAGGTGGGACAAGGAGAGGTAACTGTGGTAACCAAAACAATGAACTGGACGGCTTTAGACTGCCGTGTTCAAATCCTGGTTCTGCTATGTGCCTGTGAAATGGGGATAGAGAACGCCTACTTGGAAAAACTGTGAGAAATAAACTAGATGTAAAAGCACTTAGCACAAGGAGTGTATGTACTTTGACCAGATCATGTGCAAGTGGTAGGAAATGCAAAAGTGAGGAAGGTATGCAGGGGAAAGGTAAGCCTCCTCCCCTCCTTAGCCTCCATTCTCTCAGTTCCCCTCAGAGTCAACTCTGGGGACCGTTCTGTGCATTTACTTCTTTCCTGGACTCAGCTGTGAGAACTTGAGTCTGTAACTCAAATTTAAAATTCCTTATAACACAGGGAACTATACTCAATATTTTGTAATAACCTATAAGGGAAGAGAATCTGAAAAAGATTTTATATAAATATGTATATATGCATGTATGTATACATGTGTGTGTGTATGTATATGTATATATGCATGTGTGTATGTGTGTTCATATATGTATTGTATATATGTATATGTGTGTACGTATGTATATGTGTATATATCCATATGTGTATATGTGTGTATATGTGTGTATATGTATATGTATGTATGTATTATGTATATATGTGTGTGTATATATCTATATATGTGTATGTATATATGCGTATAAGTATATATATGCATATGTGTATATGTGTGTATGTATATATGCATGTGTGTATGTTCATGTGTATTGTATATATGTGTATATATGTATATGTGTGTATATGTATATGTATGTATCCATATGTGTATGTGTGTGTATATATAGTATGTATATATGTATTATATATAGATGTGTGTATATATATCTATATATGTGTATATATGTGTGTGTATGTATATATATATGCATATGTGTGTATGTGTATATATGTGTATATGTGTATATATGTATGTGTATATGTGTGTATGTGTATATATGTGTATATATATACACACATATATACGTATATATATACACATACACATATATATATACATATATATATATCACTGAATTGCTGTGCTGTGCACCTGAAACTAACATGATATTCTAAATCAACTATACTTCAATAAAAAATACACATATAAAAAATTTTTAAATAAAAATAAAATTCCTTACCTGTAAAATGGAAAAGTTCTGAGCATTTAATGCAACAATTACTACTTTATGGTTAAAATGCTACACAAATACGAGGTGTTCGTATTCTTAGAAAAAGGCAGGCCTAGACAAACATAGTGTATTTAGGTTTGTTTAGAACAGAGATCTCTTGGACTCTTAGAATCACCCCCAGGCTTGACTGCTTTGTTCCAGTTCCTTTCCTTTCCTCGTCTTTTTTTTTTATTGGCCGCACTGCGTGGCTGCATGCAGGATCTTAGTTCCCCAATGAACCCGCGCCCCCTGCAGTGGAAGCACAGAGCCCCAACCACTGGACCACCAGGAATTCCCATCCTTTCTTCATCTTGACCTCAGCTAGAGGGCAAGGCTGAGAGCCACACAACTTGACTCTGCCTCCGTCTGTCCCACAGGTGATCACTTACTCCAGTCGTCATGTTTACAATAACTTGACTGAGGAACAGAAGGGCCGAGTGGCCTTTGCTTCCAATTTCCTGGCAGGAGATGCTTCCCTGCAGATTGAGCCTCTGAAGCCCAGCGATGAGGGCCGGTACACCTGCAAGGTGAAGAATTCAGGGCGCTATGTGTGGAGCCACGTCATCTTAAAAGTCTTAGGTAAGACAGAGTGCCCTCGTAAATGCCTACATCTTATTAATAAGGTCTCGGTGAGGGATAGGCAAATGTGTCACACTGGTACAAAACTTCTTGTTCAATCCTTCGTATTATACAGACATCACCTAGTCCAGTTCCCTGGGAAGAAGTGTGTATGTTTTGTATTTTAGTCGTAATGAAAGAAGAAAAAATAATCACAGTTTTCCACGGTAGCCCATTACAAAATTTAAATATCCTCTAATGTTTAAATAGTATCCTCATACTTAACAAATCTCTCAGATCCGCTTCAAGTCCATTTCTCTGTTTTGTGATAGCAAGAACTACTAAGTTCTTAATTGCTTACAAGTTAATGAACTTCTGTCCCTGTTTCAGTATTAGTAAAATCACACTCAACTTTCCTAAAATTTCCAATGATAAAAGTTTCTCTTCTTTGAGAAGTGATGAGAGAGTTTCTGAGGCAGCCTCTAAAAATTACAACAGCACCACTGGAAACAGCTGGAATTGGGTGTATATGTGTGCAGGGGATGGAAGTGGGTATATTTTGGAGGGTGATGTAAAGCATGGCGAGGTAACAAAGTGCTATTGAATCCACACTCAAAAGTTGACCATATGGGTGGAAAAACAAGTCAACAGGATGTAGTTCTTCCACTCAATCGGGTGTTTGGGGATCTTTTTTTTTTTCTTGCCAGTGAGACCATCAAAGCCCAAGTGTGAATTGGAAGGAGAGCTGACAGAAGGAAGTGACCTGACTTTACAGTGTGAGTCATCCTCTGGCACAAAGCCCATTGTGTATTACTGGCAGCGAATCCGGGAGAAGGAGGGAGAGGATGAACGTTTGCCTCCCAAATCTAGGATTGGTAAGTCATCTTTCTACCGGTCTATTGAGATAGCAGGACAGTGCTCTCTCCATGAATTCTAAATCTGGTTTTGTCAGCAACTAAATCTGGTTTTGTCAGCACTCACAAGGTGACTTTGAACACACTGCTGGACCTCTTTGAACTTCCATTTTTCATCCCTAAATGGGGACAGAAAAATCTGTCTTTTCTTTCCTCAAATGGCAAAAATAAAAGTGGTAAGGAGATTAGGAATAAATGTACTCTATAAATTCATTATATCTAATTATTGTGTTTAGTATCCCTTAAATGTTCAGAATCTCTTGTAACTTTTGAGGATGCACTGCAGTTTAAAGGAATGTTCACCTTTCTTCCCACATTCCAAAAAGGGATCGATTCTCTCACCTCATCTTTACCAAACCGTATTATATTGATAATCAATATTGTGTCAGTGACACAATAAACGATAAATATAGACCTTGTTACTAGGGGATTACAGTCATCTTTCTGCTTGTGTCTTAGACTACAACCACCCTGGACGCGTCCTGCTGCAGAATCTCACCATGTCCTCCTCTGGGCTCTACCAGTGCACAGCGGGCAATGAGGCCGGGAAGGAGAGCTGTGTGGTGCGAGTGACTGTTCAGTGTAAGTACCTAAAGGGTTGGTTTGGTTTTGTCTCTGCAGTGGTTCAGTGTAACATGTTTTTAATCACAAGTAAGAGCAAGGTCAACATCTTCATCTACAGAAGAACATGGCTGTCACTGAAATAAATTCACTAGTTACCAAGGACTGTTCAACAGTTGTAGGTAACTCTGTATTTATAGTAATGTGTGAATTTTCCAGCCCCCTAAAGAAATTTATTATATCCAGGAGGGGACCAAAACCAAATGGAGGTTTCCTTTATAGATATACCCTTACAAAGGGTAACTTCTACTCTGTTTTCAGAGCTTCTCTTGTGTCTGCTGTTTCTCAAAAATAATCAGATAAAAATAATCCTGTCAACGAGGCATATTTTGGGGTGTCGTATTCTGCTCCCCTTCAATATCAAGAGGGACAGTCATACACCAAGAAAGGGTATATGGGGAACTCAGGAAGATAGATACAAAGATCTGGAAATACTCATCTTGTCCAGAGCTTATGTTTTTTAAGTCTGTGTGTTGCTTAGCTTATGTTTGGTTTTACTTTTGCTTTTGTTTCTGAGAAAACAGATGTACAAAGCATCGGCATGATTGCAGGAGCGGTGACAGGTATGGTGGCTGGAGCCCTGCTGATTTTCCTCTTGGTGTGGCTGCTAATCCGACGGAAAGACAAAGAGAGATACGAGGAGGAAGAGAGACCGAATGAAATCCGGTAAACCTCCCGCAAAATCCCCTTCCTCACCTAGGTTGCCTTTCTACCGCCAGCTCCCTAGTGACCAGCCAACAAAAATGTCCCCTTTCCTCTTAACCTTAAATCTGTTAAAAGGATTATTCTGGTGGGTAAGGAACTCCAGCCTAGGGGCAGGAGGACTGGTTTACCTTGACTTTCTTGTGAAACTATCCGCAACAGGGACTTAATAGCTAACTCTGCGTTCCTTCTCATTGCCTTCCACTTGTAAAGGCCATGCAATAGAGAATGGGCCTAGCCTACGGGCCATTAAAGGGCTTCTGCAGACAAACTCCCAGTCAAGGGGATTGCTGTCTAGACATCCAGTAGGGAGTGCCCATTCCCCCAGAGTAACAGGGTGGACCTCCCGGCCAAGGGGCCGCACACCTGCCCAAGCCCGCCGGAAGGGCTCAGGATGCAGGGGGGGTCCCTGTTTCCCTACGTGGTAGCTCGAGGTTTCCACCTTGAGGAGTTGATCAGGCAACCTCAGAAAGCAGCAGCCGCAGCAGAAGCTTTCACAGTCCTGTGGCCCTAAAATCTGTCTTTGCTGTTTTTCCTCTTCAGAGAAGATGCCGAAGCCCCGAAAGCCCGCCTCGTGAAACCCAGCTCCTCCTCCTCGGGCTCTCGGAGCTCACGCTCGGGCTCCTCCTCCACGCGCTCCACGGCAAACAGCGGCTCCCGCAGCCAGCGGACACCATCCTCGGAAGCGGCGCCCCGGCCAGGGCTGGCTACCCACACCTATGGTCCCGTGGGGCCAGAGGCAAGGGGGTCTGAACCAAAGAAAGTCCACCACGCTATCCTGACCAAAGCAGAGAGCACTCCTGGCACGATCCCCAGGCAGAGCAGAGCCTTCCAAACTGTCTGAGTTCGAGCGGACTTGACTCCCATCCTTTCCCAGGAGTCAGGACTCTTCTCGTCATTGACGCCCAGTCACCAGCCACACAACCGCCTCGGACCAAACGAGAGGTCATTTAAGTAGCAGTGACCATTGCATGGAAGAGATTCAAATGAACACTTTCCTCATATGACACCAAACAAGGAAAAGGATGTAAGCTGATGGTCTCCAAAAAGGCATCTCACTGTGCCTTTAGACCAGAGCGGGGGCCAAATCTGTGCATTTGGGGACCAGGACCTGTGGTGAGAAAGGCTGGGGAGAGGGGAAGTGAACACACTTAGAATTCCTCACTTGGGTTGTTTTGTGTCAACACTTTGACTCACCACTGTTAAGAAATGAGGTGTTGTTCATAAATTTTCTATGCATTTCTGCAAACCTACTGGATTGCTATGATTATTCAGAGTCAAGCAGAACCCACAGCCTTATATCACACCTATCTGCACCATGAAAAACTCCAAAAAAGGAAACATGTCTCTTCCATCCTGACCTGACTTTATTTACCAGAAAGTTTGGATATTAATGTCAAGAGGAGTTGAGAAATAGTGGGAGATGCAGAATGACTGAGATTTTCCCACTCTGTTCACTACTAATCTTCCTACTTAGATTGAACTAAAAAAAAGGGAGTCCAAAATGTGTAACAAGGGACTGTGAAAAACTTTCCATCTTGATGTTCAGAGGGCCACTGACAAATATCAGAAATATAATGCTGGAATAATTGTGGATTTTCCCTCAAATTGGATGTCTCTAAGGACCTCCCTGCTGGATATCTCTGCAGCAAGAAAACAATCATTAGGTGTCATTTAACAGTCTCCTTAGAAAGAAGTCTTCTAGAGAAAGAGATCTTTTCAGAATGCTGGAAGATCATCCAACCACAGTCTCTTCTTTCAGTGAACATATGAAATCAGGATTTCAAGACTGACTAGACTAAAAAGGGAGATTAGATCAGCTTTCTCTTAATATGTCAGGGAGTGGCATCAGAAGTTCAGCATTACACCAAACTTGGAGCTTCCTCCATTTCTTTCATTTTAGGAGAAAGATGTGAACCTGGGACTTTTGTTGATTCTAGGCCTTAAATTATCAAAAAGTTCAGGGATTGACAACCTTTCCTGATGGCACTGCATGGACATCATACCATTCCCTCCTGAGAGGTTGAGACAGAGAGAAATTCAGTATTTTCCCAGTTTAGCCTCTCAGGAAGCCTAGCTCTGGGCTGGAAGGATAGGATATTAACATTTAGGGAAGAGATGGTGAGGATAACTAGTGGGTGGCAGGAGGGATCTAGGTTAGTGCCTGTTAAATACTGTTGGCATCTTGGAAAGAATTAGCAGAAATGATTTACCAGGATAGCTCTCAGAAGAGCTGACTCATGGGAGAAGACAGGTGTCTGAGAAATAAAAAGAAAGCAGCCTCCAATACAACAACTTGCCTTTTTAATAGTTTTGACGACTCTGCTAGTCAAATTCATCCTATGGCAAGAATGCTAAACCTGAAATAGCCCTTCAAAGACTCTAAAGCAAGTGTCAACAGATCACCAGTGGTAGAGCAAAATATTTCTTATTATTAAAAGGACACGGAATTCCCTGGCAGGCCAGTGGTTAGGACTCTGCGCTCTCACTGCCGAGGGCGAGGGTTCAAGCCCTGGTCAGGGAACTAAGGTCCTGCAAAAGTAAAAATACACAAATAGATAAATAAAAATAAAATAAAGTCTTAAAAAAAAAAAGGCAGCAGGCTATAGGAAAGAAAATGTAGTGCTGAATGTGGTGATGAAAGCCCTGTTCCTAAAATGGGAATCAGGCGCTTAAAGGGAAAAAGTTGATCTGGGATATTGTCCTATTTCTGATTTTCATTTTTACATCTAATTCTCATATAGTGCGAATGCATTTCTTTCCAAAGTCCTTTAATAAATAGGGTTTTATCCTTGAGTGAAAGTTACATCTTGAGTTTTGTCTTCCTCTAAAAAAAAATTGGGGGTAATTCCCTGGCAGTCCAGTGGCTAGGACATCATGCTTTCACTGCTGAGGGCATGGGTTCAATCTCTGGTCAAGAAACTAAGATCCGGCAAGCCATGCGGCATGGCCCCCCCCCCCCAAAAAAAAGTTGGGACATAAGAGACATTGAGGAAGTAATGTAAAGAATGCCTGCCATTAGTTTAAGAGGGCTAGCACATTTGGAATGCTTCTTATACTAACACTGCCTCATTGTAAGACCTAAACTCCTTACTCCACTTCCTTATTCTTCTGGTAGTGTGGTGTCCAGGCAATATAACACATCTGCTCTGTAATTCTGAGAATTCTCATTCCTAGAGTACCTGAGCCAAATGAGTACGCTATGGCAGCTGCAGCTCTACCATCACTAGAAATTTGCTCTTATCGTTATTTATTACCTTTGAACCTAAGGTTTCCTGCCTATGCCTCTGCAAGCAGGAATCAGTGCCCTTTGCGTGAAAAGGTTTAGATTATTTAAACAGGTTAGTTATTAGAAGACTAAAATACCAGTTGAATATCCATATTATTTTGGAAGTCCATTCATACTGGATATCTACAAAAAATGTCACAAAACAAATTATTACCTGAAATCTGAGAAATTCTAGGAATTGAAGATTCTGAGAGATAAGGTGCTGAAGTCTTAGTGATAGTGTGCTGCTCTTTCAGTCAGGCTTTTGGGTTCAGATATGACAGGCTCTGGGTTTAAGATAAAGTTTGAGCCACTACTGGTTTCAAACCATATTCCATTAACCTTGCAAGTCAAACAAATTTGATTCTTTAAAACAAAAAAGGATAAAATAGATGGTAGAAGAAAAAGTGTTTGTAGGAAGAAGATACAGATGGAATGATGTGGATGTTTAGAAAATAACCATTTCAATAAAATGCATACACTAAACTTAGAACTGTAAAATAATGAAGTGATGCCTTTGTTGTTACCCTGTATAAGAACAATTTCTAAACTGCCGTTGTGAAAAAGACATATATAATTCTGCTTCATTTCTGGTGTTAAGCTGTTTATATTTCAATTTTAACTTCTAAGTTGCCTTGTAAATGGGACTGTGTTTGATCACAAAAACCAAGTATTTATTACAGGTGCATCTGTGTCGGCAATTTAAAAATAAATAAGTAAAGGTGATACTGTAGGAGAGGCTGAAGCTCATATAACCTGCATTGGAAATTTATTTATTAGCTTGCAGCCAACTGAACAACAGAAGAACTCAGACTGAATATGATCTATTATTTATTGATTCCAGTCACAAATATACCAAGCACTTTTTTCTCACAAGGCGAGATACTAAGTAGTCCTGGACAAACCAAGTGACGACAAAGTTCATGACAGAGTTTCCGACCTTAAGGACTTTATCAAAATAACAAATAATATTTACTAAGCCAGTATTTTATATCAAGGTGAAGTGCCAGTAAAAAAGTGCACACTGAGGCATTCAAAGAAATCTGAAAAGTAAACACTATGAGATTTAAATAAATCTGAAAAAAATTTCACAGAATTAAATGAGGTAATATATGCAAAGCACTTAGAACAGTGCTTGGCCTGTGACAAGCACTCAAAAAATGTTCATCATGACCCTCTTCCCTAGTCAGAAACTCTAGGCCTCAGACTGGAGCCCCAGGCACCCAAACTTTAACTTTAGATCCTGGGTGGGTTTGAAACCCTGTGCATTTTAAGAGGTGGAGACAGGACATTTATCATAATCTGAACTTTATACATAATATATAAACTCTCATTCTAGTCGATAAGAAGATAGTTCAAATCCTAGAACGCGTTTTGTTGCTTTTTTTTTTTTTTTTTTTTTGCAGTACGCGGGCCTCTCACTGTTGTGGCCTCTCCCGTTGCGGAGCACAGGCTCCGGACGCGCAGGCTCAGCGGCCATGGCTCACGGGCCTTTCCACTCCGCGGCATGTGGGATCTTCCCAGACCGGGGCACGAACCTGTGTCCCCTGCATTGGCAGGCGGACTCTCAACCACTGCGCCACCAGGGAAGCCCCTAGAATGCGTTTTGAAAGTGACCAGAAGGGAAGGTTATCTGTTCAGCTTTCTGTAATCACTGCTACTAGGTGGGATACCCCAAACCCCTGGATTTACGCACCTGTTCTATTTTCCACCGGTTCAAATCTTGTAGGTAGTTGAGGTTAGTTTAAAAAGCTGCAAAATATAGGGTGTGGTTCAGAGATTGTACTCGATAAATTGGGTGGGGAGAGAAGTCTGCAGATGCTAAAGAAAATTGCAAGAAGTATACATCTTTCTCTGCAGTTCGAGTTACACGTGTTTTCAGGAAGGAAATTACTAATAAAAAAAGACCAAAGATTCTGGAATCAAGAGCTAGGTTCTACTGTAGCTCAGCCAGATGTTTAACTTCCCACAAATAACATCTCTGAACCTCATTTCTCTCCTAACACAGAAATGATCTCTCTCTCAGAGAATCGTTTTGATGATTAAATGAAATAACAAATGAAAGCACTTTGTACCCTGTGAAAGCATCATATAAAACGAACTCCTTGGGAAGTGGGGAGAAGTTAGGTACATACCTCCAAGGACTCAAGCTCACATTTTCCCCCAGAAGGCAAATACAGAAAGGACATCCTTTGATCCAATACTCGAATCTATCTCTAGGCTTTACTGGCTTTGACAAGGACAAGGTATCTCTCGTCTGACGGCCCTTCTCGAAGTCTGGAGACCTTTCTAATTCCAGCCACGCCACTAAAAGTTCTGCTAGGTAGTCTTAAAAAAAATCTTTTCACCTATTTGTGCCCACTCATCTACTAAATAGGAATACTACCTGCCCAGCCTGTTTGAAAGCGCTCGCTAGAAAGCATTCAACGTGTTGAGAAAGGCTTAGAATGACAAGGCCCCAAACACCGCATCATGCGCCGCAATTTGAAATTCTAGGTACACTGTTTTGTGCACTCCACTCGTTCAGTAATATTCTCAAGGCGTTTCTGCCTGGTTTCTCGCTTAGTTTTTGCCGAAAGTCAAGGCAGTAAAGATATTACCTCGAATTACTGAAAGTAAGAGGCTCAGGAAGTCTCAATCAAGGACACAGGGCTACCAGAACCCAGGTTCCTTCCTTACGCCTGGTTCACTTACAAGGAAAGAGTTCCCTAGCTTTTCTTTTTTTTAAAACAAATAACTGAGAAGTGAGGGGGCCCGGGCGGGTGGAGAAGGGGCCGAGCCAAGAAGCCGAGTCTATTCTCGGTGGGCGCTGGCGGGTGACGGAGGCATCCGGGCTCCAAGAAGCGAGTTTAGCCATCTATTTCGCTAAGGATCCAGACACAGCATCGGACCCTGGTTGAGAAGTTGGGCCCCTCCGCACTCTGCGTCGGGGTCAGCCGGCCTCCAGCTACCACAATGAACAGAGGGTCCCGGGGGCCTGCCCGGCTAACCTGTCGTATCCCGCGCAGAGGCGAGACACCGCGGCGGCCGGCCGGCTCCTTCCATCCCCAGATCTGGGCGCCACTGAGCAAGTTACCCTCGCAGCGCCCTGGGGTCGGAAACTTCGGCCCCGTCGCTCGGGGTCAGTCCTAGGACAGAGTCACGCTGGCTATGTGGGTGCGTGGAATCCTGGAGGGCCTAGAAGACCATCTACAAGGCCGGGGTGGGAGTAGGGGAAAGAGGATGGTGGGG